CTTGGCATGTATTACATTTATTGTTGTATTCATCATGAGAGAGAACATGTATCATTGTACTTACTCAAGGGTGATGGATGTTTGAAAAAAAAAAAAAAATTGGACCTAAATTACAGGCTTTGGTAATGTTTCCGAGTAATTAAAAATTGGGGTGTGACAGAAAATTTACCTATAAATCCTATCTTGAGAAATGGTGATTCATTTAGTCCTCAAAATTTTCTTATAGACCAACTAGTCCCATCGATTTAATATATTATTTAAAATTTTAATTTACGGTTATACCCTTATTTCTATTATGTTCCATTCTTTTTTTTTCTTTTGTGCTAGAAAGGTAAGGTACATAATGTATGATAATCAAATTTGGAATGAATTTGTATATGAAAAATCTTTTTTATTTGGAAAACATTTCAAAAGGAGTACAAAAATGACTTAAAATATGGGATTTTTTTAAATATTCCAAAAGGATGTGGGATTTTTCAAACATTTCAAAACAAAAAGACTCCTTAGTGTATTTTTTCCGAACGTAACACTCTAATATAACACTCCAAAAAACCTTCTTAGTGTAACACTTTAATATAACACACAAAAAAAATTCCTTAGTGTAGGTTTCCTAAATATAACACTCAAATATAATATTCTAAAAAAATTCCTTAATGTAACACTCTAATATAACACATAAAAAATCTTTAGTGTAACATTCTAATATAACACAAAAAAAAAAAAAAAAACTCTTTACTATACTTTTCCAAACATAACACTTCAAAAAAAAAAAAACTCCTTAGTCTTACATTATAATGTAACACAAAAAAAATAAAAAAAATAAAAAAATTATTACACTCTAATGTAACACACAAAAATTCTTAATGTACCTTTTTCCAAATGCAACACTCTAATATAATACTCCAAAAAATACATCTTACTGCAACATTCTAATGTAACACACAAAAAAACTCCTTAGTGTAACACTTTAATGTAACACACAAAACAACTCCTTAGTGTACTTTTCTTAAACCTAACACTTCAATATAACACTCCAAAAAGACTCCTTAGCATAACACTTTAATGTAACACACACAAAAATCCTTAGTATATTTTTCATAAACATAACACTCTAATGTAATACTATAAAAAAAAATGTGGGATTCTTCAAACCATTCCAAAATGAGTACATATATTCCTTAATAAGGTTTGGGCAAATGTATAATTTCAAACTGTGAGTGTTACATTTGGAAAAAGTATAAGGAGTTTTTTAGTGTTTTTGTATTTTACATTGGAATATGTTACATTGGAGTGTTACGTTTGTGATTACATTGATTGGAGTGTTACGTTTGGGAAAAGTACACTAAGGATTTTTTTTTTTTTTGTGTTACATTGGAGCATTATATTTGGGAAAGTACACCAATGAGTTTTTTTTTTTTTTTAGTGTTACGCTGTTACGTTTGGGAAAAACACACCAAGGAGTTTTTTAGTGTGTTACATTAAAATGTTACGTTATTGGAATGTTACATTAAAATGTTACGTTTTTGTTCGTAATGTGGGGTTTGTTCCAAAATGAGGGAAAATTCAAAACTTCTATAGTATGGATTGTCCAAATATGTAATTTTATATTTTTAGAAACCCACTTTTATCCCTAAAAATTAAACCCAAACATATAAGTGACTACCCTTTTGTGTAGTTTCCACTTTAATGGGACCTTTGGATTCATAAGAAAAAGGAAAGCACTAAACAGTTTACGAGATCACATTTTAGGATTTATTGGTACTTCACCCTTGTTTATACTCAATTGGATTCCCTCAATGGTATTCCAACTCTTCGGACCAATAATTAAAAGGAATCTTTATCTGCTCTCCAATATAATTTAGTGTTTAATAGACAGAAAAAAAAAAGGGCATGTATGCTGATTGTGGTAAGCCAAAAGCTACATTTTTCGATGCCAGGGTTATTCCATTGCACTCTCTCCGAGTCTTTGATGTAAACGTTGTCCGTTTTTCTTTATTTGGTCAATTTTTATTCATGTGGGGGATTGTTGAAAAAAATGGTTTTATTGTGACTTTAATGTGAAATTAAAGTAGGTCCCAACCATTGGTTAAGGTGGGATTAAATGGGTTTAGATTCTTTGTAACAAGATCTTTACACCACAAAAAGAATGACCAAAAACCATTAAAGTTTGAATGAGAAATTGGCTCATTAGGTTGGCCTCATGAAACAGGTGTTGGGAAAGGTGTAAAACCTTGTATCCTCCATTGATTGCAGAGAAGAGCATTGATGGGTATTTAAATCCCTTTTTTTGCCTTAAGGTGTGAGCCCTTTGGGGCATCAAAATTTTCCAAATGAAGGGAGTTATGGATGTTTCAAGGATGGACTTGGGCCAGGACTATGGTCCAAGTTGTTCATGAAAAAATTACCGCCCGCCTGCCCGGACCGGGTCCCGGTCCAAGTCCATGGGTGGTGGATCTTGAGGCTTGCTAGAATAGATTGAGGGTGGGGGTTAGGCTTGGCACACCCATCTTAATCTTTTTGGGCCAAGCCAAATCTATGGGCTACAGATATATACATACACAAAACCTAGGTTTATAATACAGCTGGTAACTCCTCTATTCATAATGGATTTAATCCATCAGTTTTGTAGATGCATTAGTGATGGGCCTTGATGGCTGGAGCCTCTTCCTCTCTCCCTCCATGTGTATAAAAGAAGACCCTTCTCCTTCATTCTGGTTACCCAGAAAATTTGCTCATCTTTGTCTTCCAAAGTTTTCTCCAGATTTTTTATTCTTTCTATGAGAGAGTGCTACAAAGTTCTATTCGCCGAAGCTACTCAGTCGATGCATTGTTGTAGCTGGTCCAACCATCGTATCCTAGAAAACAGACGTCAAACAACCTCCAGCACCCAACCGGTAAGGCGGCGAATCTGTTTTACGAACACTGTCTAGTGCATGAATCTAATTTTGTAATTGTATGGAAAAATAGAATCTGTTTTAAGTTTGTTGTACAAATTGTGTGATAACATAAAACAAATAGATTCATAATGGACAATTGAAATTCCAAAACAAGCAAACCATGCTGAAAATTACAATACATCATAAAATAAAATAGCAAAGGAAAGCAAACCAAAGTCTGCACTTGACAGTGTCCTTAAAACAGATTCGCCGCCTCACCGGTTAGGTGCTGGAGGTTGTTCGACGTCTGTCTCCTAGGATGCAACGGTTGGACCAGCTACAACAATGCATTGACTGAGTAGCTTCGGTGAACAAAGCTTTGCAACACTCTCTTATAGGAAGAATAAAAAAACTAGAGAAAACTTTGAAAGAAAAAAAGAAGTAAATTTTCTGGGTAACCAGAATGAAGGAGAAGGGTCTCCTTATATACACATGGAGGGACAAAGGAAGAGGCTCCAGCCATCAAGGCCCATCACTAATGCAGAAATCAATTTTATATTAATCTGCAAAACTGATGGATTAAATCCATCACGAATAGAGGAGTTACCAGCTCTATTATACACCTAGGTTTTTTGTATATATATCTACAACCCATAGATTTGGCTTGGCCCAAAAAGACTAAGATGGGTGGGCCAAGCCCAACCCCCACACTCAATCCATTCCAGCAAGCCTCAAGCCCAAGCCCAAGGTCCAAGATCCAAGATCCATGACCCACGACCCATGAACCACGACCTCGGTCTGATCCAAGTGGGCGAGACACTATCTAGTGCAGTCTTCGGTTTGCTTTCCTTTGCTATTTTATTTTATGATGTATTGTAATTTTTAGCATGGTTTGCTTGTTCTAGAATTCCAATTGTCTATTATGAATCTATTTGTTTTATGTTATCACACAATTTGTACAACATATGTTTATCCTATAGATTAAATGAAAATAAATAAATAAAATGATCAGTAGAAAACAAAAATGACAATTTCTGAAGTTAACATTGTAGGGATGACTGAATATGTGTTAGAAATTTCTTTAGTTTCAGTGAGAGCAGCTTCTTCGTGCTCCATCAAAAAACATATCAAGCCATTTATGCAGTCAACAACAGACAAGCAAACAAGGAGACACAAAAAATTGTATGGTCTATGAATGTTGTTATCCAAGATTCCCAATATCTAGCAGTTCCAATTGAAAGGTACATTTAGAATTTAGAAAAGTATGCTTTTCTAAATAATGATGCAACGAGGGGGAAATGAAGACTTACTGCAAGTACTCTTCAGTCTTTCTTTTTTCTGTTTATTATATTTCTTATAAATTGAATAAATAATGGAAAAACAAAGGTAGTCCATGAATTGAAGATGAGACTATCGATGGAAAGCCTTAAAATACGTTTATTTTTTTCCTCTTTATTTTCCATCTTCATAGTCTCCAATATAGTAGACACCATAACTAAAACTCACTTCATTACAGGCGTTTTTTCAGTCCTGGCAGTTCCCGGAATCAATACTTAGGAATATGGTACAATAATATTTCTGTTAGAACCGTTGTATGGGTTGCCAATAGAGAAATCCCACTCCTCGATTCGTCAAGCGTCTTAACTATAATCAACCTTGGAATTCTTGCCCTTGTCAATAGTACTGGCAACACCATTTGGTCTCCCAATATGACAGGATCTACACGAGTCCCTATTGCACGACTGATGGAGCCTGGAAATCTTGTTGTGCAAGATGCTAATGATGAGTATGGGCATTTTCTGTGGCAAAGTTTTGATTATCCATGTGATACTCTTTTACCAAGCATGAAGCTTAGAAACAGTCCTAGAGCGCCACCTCTCCTCTTGGAAGAGCAGTGATGATCTAGCTTTAGGTGAGTTTACATACCGATGTGAACCTCAAGGATACCCACAAAATATTCTGAGAAGTGGTCCTAATGTGCTGTTCCGAACTGGGCCATGGAATGATATCAAATTCAATGGGAGACCAAGCCTTCTATCTAATTCAATCTACACATTTGAATTGGTTTACACCAAGGAGGAAGTGTATTGTGATTATAAACTACTCAGCTCAGTTGTTTCAAGGATGGTTCTGAGTCATATTGGCGTTTTACAGTGCATGATGTGGATTGATCTAACCCAGCAATGGGTCATTGGCCTGACTTCACCGACAGATAACTATGATACCTATAAACTGTGTGGTCTGAATGGTAACTGTAACGTTGGAAACAATCCGGTATGTGGTTGTTTGAGTAAATTTGTGCCCCAGAACCAAACGCAATGGGGAAATGGAGATTGGTCTAATGGGTGTGTTCGGAGGACACTGTTGGATTGCCATAATGAAGATGGATTTGTCAAGTATTCAGGCTATAAAATGCCTGAAACACGGAACTCCCAGTTTGACAGGAACATGACACTCAAGAAATGCGAGATAGTATGCTTGAAAAGCTGCTCTTATATGGTTTATGCAAATTTAGACATAAGAAGAGGTGGAAGTGGCTGCTTACTTTGGTTTGATGAGTTGATTGATATGAGAGAGTTAAATGCAAATAAGCAAGACATTTACATAAGGATGGCTTCCTCTGAGTTAGGTAAGAATTCATACCAAACAGATAGATTAGTGAACATAGATTGATTAGATTATACATATGTAAGAAGCATGTAGTTAACTTAGTTAACTATATTGAACCTTTACATTTCTTCCTTAAAAATTCCTCACTATGTTACCTTTCTAGATCTAACTATAGTTTAGCAAAAGGAGAGTTAATTTTGGTTTCATCTTGAATGTTGATTTTTGTTGTGGGAATTCAATCTGGATGATACTTATTACCCATCTAAACCCAGATGCCCACCACAGTAAGTTATACGTGTATTTGTATTTGAGCCAATTTTGACCCTAGTTTATTATCGTTTGGATTTTGTTTATATTGTGTTATTTCAAAGTTCTAGAGTTATGATTGTCTTTGATATCTATACACAAAGTGAAACTGCATCATTTACCTTTCCCCCTACCCTTTTCCTTTTCTCCACAAATCTTTTGTCAAATTCTTGATCAGAACACAGCCTTACTTTAATTTTAATGAAGACCCTTGTTTAAAAATGAAGGCTGAAAATCAACTAAGCTAGTCAACTTTTTAAAAGAAAATGCGTTGGCCAAAAAAAAAAAGACACGACTACCAGATTTATTTATCAATACAAGAATAGCGATAAAGAAAGTCCAATCAGCTGCCATCTTCACTTTTATCAGCACCTAAACTATCTTTCTACTATAGAACTCTCTTTTTGGTCAACTTTGAATCTCAAAATAAATTTTCAAAACCTTATCAGCATCAAATGACTAAACTTATATTGTTGAGATATTTCACTATATGATTTTTATAACTTTCTTCCTATCTTATATAAAATTATAGAAAGATTTGCTCAAAGCAATTCTAATATTAAAAATAATAAAATTATACCTAAAATTGTCTGTCACAAGAAAGATTAAGTGAATTAGCCATATTATCAAGTAAAAGAATATATTAATGAAATTTGAATAGAAGATCAAAAATTAAAACAATATTGAAAATTGTAGGGAACCTTATTTAAAATTATCCCTTTAGACGTCAAATTATCTCAAGTTGCCCAAACCAAACCACGCCTTAAGTCCCATCAAATGGGGTCGGCTACATAAATCATTCTTCTCTTTTCGGTTCTATCAAGGGCATCTCAAGTCGCCCTAATTGGTGAAATTAATTTCTTCTGGTTGGCCCCCTCAAGTCGCAATTTTGTCTTCACCCCTGCATAAGCTTCTAAATTCTTGTGTGCTTGTGTGTTTGTTTTGTTTAGCTTTATTCATCCCATTTGCCATAACAATTTCAATACATCAAGGGATTGAAATCTAAAGCAATCCCTTTAAGTTTGTGCTTTCATGATTGTATTATCTAACTGATCAATTGACCATTTATGTTAAATGGATTGAGGATTCAACAGTCCATAGCAAGAAAAGAGAGATAGAACCAAGGTCATTAAGCTCCTCACTAAAGATTTCCTAAATCATCTAGGCATTTAATTCATAAGGGAGGGAGGGCAGAGCTTTTGGTGTCCCCTCCAGTCAAAAATTGAGGCCTCACAATCACTAGCCAATATGCTTTTCTCTCCTCCCTAACTCTTTAACATTTACCCAAAATTTTTATACTAAAGTCTCATGTTCAAGTTCTTCTTGGCTACTTAGGCTCTCTATCAAGCACCGATATTCCAAAGTTTTCTAGCTAATGTATTCATTTCCCAAATTGTTATCCTAACAATTCATAGTTATTTCCAGAACATTGTAAGGTAATTGAATTAGGGTATCCTATGATATGAAATAGTCAATAGGATAATTATTTTGGCCCAGGGTATTTAAGGATGGGTGATGATATAATTATAGTACGTGGCATTCTTTGGGGTGTCACACCTACACTTTATAATTAATCCAATAATCAACTTGCCTACAATTTTATATTCAAAATCTATTCTACCTTATCATGCTACTAACTTTTGGAATGGCCTATATGTCCACAAATAAGGGGAGTAGTAATCCATCTTCTCAACATTAGTATAAGATAAGCTAATTCAGTACCGTCACAGGTTCTTGCTAAGTAAAATAACAAAAATGTGTAGGTATTATTTAACTAACTAACATCATCATTCAAAACAAAAAATGAGCTTGCCAACAAGCTGATATTTGACCCTTTTTTTAATGATTATTCAATTATAGGTTGGTACTTTATTTTTGTTTTCTATTTTTTCAAGTAATGGTATACAAACACAAAAATTCTATTAAAAGCAACACAAAATGATGTCACAAATTTGAACTCTTTAATTTCAAATCAAAACACATATCGATGATCATTTATTTAAAAAATGTCATTGTCATATTATTCTAGTAGAGTATTCTATTTATAAATTATGGAAACTGAATTTTTATTCTAGTTGAATATTCTATGTAGCAAATTATTATTATATACATATTTATATTAAATGTGAGAAAAATGATTGAGACTAACCTTTAAAACCTTGTAGGGAAGTTCTAATTTTGTAATCCCCTCCACCTGTCCTCACTCACCCACGTAGAGTAAACATTCTTGCCCTTTCCTTATCACACAATCTAGGTGCTATCTGGCATCGCATAATATATTTTTCTTTCAATTTTCAAAGAAAACAATTGGTTGGTTTGATGCATATTTTCTTAGATATGAAACTTCATAAATCTGTGTAATTTTTTCTTTCAAGTATGTGTCTGGTAATGTTGTTACATAAATCACTAGTCATGACTGCACCTGTTGAAGTAATGTTAGCCAGAGCGACATAAAAAACCAAAAAAACAAAAAAAAAACAAAAAAAAATAAGTAAAATACATAAATAATAAGAATTTAAAATAAATATAAAAAAAAGTGGTTTCTTTTAGTTGGGAAAAAAAAAGGAGTGGTTTATTTTAAGTTCTAATAGAAATTCTATCAATTATAATGGTAATTCCCAGGGTATGTTGAAAGGAGGACAAGAAATAGCTATGAAGCGGCTCTCAAAGAATTCTAGCCAAGGAATTGATGAGTTTAAGAATGAAGTTATATGTATTGCCAAACTTCGGCACTGAAATCTCGTGAAGCTTCTAGGATGCTGCATTGAAGGAGAAGAAAAGCTGTTGATCTATAAATACATGCCCAACAAAAGTCTAGATTACTTTTTTTTTGGTTTGGCTCTCTTGAAAACTATAATACTACATATATAGCACAACTATTCCGCTATTAGACCAGCCAATAGTCTTTCCTTCTTTTTTTTTTTAATTCTTTTTGGTTCGATATAAATTTTTTGAATTATTTAATAATGAGTCCAAAAAGGTTATTATTACATGTGCATTTGCATGAACTTTTTCTTCTAGAAAAATTTGGGATCTTCCATTGAGGAATACTGTTAAAAATCCATGCATCCAATTAGCAAGAGCAAGGACTACACCAGACAAAATAATTTCCAGATCGAAGCCGAAGCACATTACTAGAGTGGCCGAAGTGCTTCCATATCGGGGGCTTTTATATCTTCATCAAGATTCCATACTGAGAATTATTCATAGAGATCTCAAAGCTAGCAATATTTTGTTGGATATTGACATGAATCCAAATATATCAGACTTTGGAGTGGCTAAAAGTTTTGGAGGAAATGAGACACAAGCAAATACAAATAGAGTAGTTAGAACACAGTAAGAATCTTCATAAAATGTTTTGTTTAATCCACTTGTATTGCTTCAAAATTTGATTCTTCATTAAGTGTTTCTCTGTAGTGCTTACATGGCCCCAGAGTATGTAGTGGATGGGCTATTTTCAGTCAAATTAGATGCGTTCAGCTTTGGTGTTTTGGTACTGGAGATTGTGAGTGGGAGGAGAAACAGAGGTTTCTATCATCCAAATCACCACCTCAACCTCCTTCTACAAAGAAGACAGGCTGTTGGAATTGATTAACGAGGCTCTATAGGACTCATGCTACCTAATTGAAGTGTTGCAATCCATCCATGTAGGTTTTTTATGTGTGGAACAATGTCCAGAAGACAAGCCAAGCATTTCTTTTGTGGCTTTGATGTTGGGTAGTGAAGGTCCATTGCCTCAGGCCAAACAACCTGGCTTCTTCACTAAAAGGAATGTTCTTGAGGCTGGTGGTTTGTGAAGCAAGGATGCAACAACTTCAACCAATGAAATCACCATTACCCTGTTAAATGCTCGATAGAAACACACATTGTGTTGATGCTAATTACATGCCCCAAAACCTGTGAAGTAAAATGAAAACCATTTAGTTAGATTTTATACCTTCTTTAAGGTGGAAGCTATGGTTAGTCATTGTTTCTTCTTAATGCTGGGTTATAAACCTTTATTGGTTATCATCATAATTAATAAAATTTCTTTCTTTCTACATGTTAGGTCCCTTAGTCTTGTCAATCCCCCGAACGAACTTTGTTTAATCGAGTTGTAATTTTCCTAGTAGTTTTGTCTTGCTCACTCGAGCGAAGATGTTCTGCTCCCAGAAGTTACCTTGTCTGCAAAAGTTCTGGGAAGGAGGATTGTATGCTCGAGCAAAGGAAGCTTGGCTCGAGCGACGGAAAACAGGCGCATTTAGTTCCTCGCTCGAGCGAGAAAGTTTTTGCTCGAGCGAGCTTCGAAGTCTCTATTTTCTATAAATACTTGTTTAAGTCAGTTTTAGGGTTACATTTTTGAGATTTTCTTTAAGGATTTTAGGGTTTCCTTTTGGGGTTGTTTGATAGTTTTCCTTGACGTTTTGATTGAGTATTAAGCTCATGTTTTGATAAGCACACATCAAGGAGTTTGATTGTTGATATTTAAAAGTTTTCTTCTTCGGTGGAATCCGAAGAATCAAGCACAGAGGAGTCAAAGGAGTTTGGTTTGTGCGCAGTCATTGATTCGACAATGGATGTTGTGGATTCAACATCAATCTGATCATTTCCGAGATGAAGGTTGCGGTGAAAGAATTACAATAGATTTGAAGACAAATTGGCAGCAGTTGGGTAATTTGTTTGGTATCTTTGTAATCTTTCTTTCTTCAGTAGTGGATTGATTTGTGGCATTTCACCCGTAGTTTTTTTTATCACAATTGGAGGTGCTCCAATTGTGGTTTTTCCACGTAAAAATCGTGTGTGTCGATTTACTGTTTTTTGAAACAACAAACTAAATCACGTTCATACGTGCTTGATGATTTAGAGTGTTAGTTTTAATTGTTTGGGAACTAGTATAATTAAATCTTGATCTAATCATGAATCACTTAGGTTTTTCAATTGGTATCCGAGCAGGTCACTCTTTGTTTTTATCGAAAACTATAGGAGTGTATTTTGTGTGATTAGTGATATGGATACAATTCGCGAAGATAACTCGACCCATAGACCTCTGTTACTTGACGGTACAAACTATTCTTATTGAAATGCTCGAATAAGAGCATTTTTAAAATCTATCGATGAAAACGTTTGGCACTGTGTGATCTATGGGTGGAGTGAACCTATTGTCACCATTGATGGTGTTGATATTCTCAAACCCCTTGATAATGGGACACATTTGACTATCAAAACTCGAGTTGGAACAGTAAGGCTCTTAATTCCCTTTTTTGCTCTATTACACCTGAAGAGTTTTATCGTATTTGCACGTGTGAGGTAGCAAAAGAGGCTTGGGACATTCCTGAAACGATTCACAAAGGTACTACTTCTGTTAAAAGGTCAAAACTTCAACGTCTCACCACAGCCTTTGAAACTCTTTTTATGCGTGATGATGAGACGTTTGATGATTTTTATTCTAAACTTAGTGACATCGTGAATTCCCATTTCACACTTGGTGAAAAAATCCCTGAAGCTAAGGTTGTTGAAAAAATTTTGAGGTCTTTACCTGAGAGGTTCCAATAATTGAGGAGGCTAAAAATGTTGATACCCTCAAGCTTGATCAGTTGGTTGGAAACTTGCAAACTTATGAAGCCTACCAAATTTCGAAGAAAAAATAAAAAGATAGTGTGGCTTTCACTAGTGCTCATGAGATTGCAAAAACTCCTAAGACTAAGTTTGATCTAGAGTCCGAGATGACGGCTATCTTTACTAAATAGTTCAACAAAAATTTAAAGAAAAAGAAGCCTAATTTCAAGGACCCTATTTCAAAATATAAGATTAATGAAAAACCCAAAACTTTTCCATCAAAACTTGCTCCAAAAACTGAAAAGAAGATTGTGAAGGGGCAAGGGGTCAACTGTTATGAATGTCAAGGGTTTGGACATATTGCTCTTGAATGTCCTTCGAAAAAGAACCAAAAGAAAGTTTATACAGTGACTTAGGATGATGAAAGCGGGTCAGAGCAAGAACCCGATGAAACCGAATCCGGTGAAGACGGAGATAGTACTTACACGGCATTCTGGTCTACCGTCACTCAACCTCCTCCAAAGCCAGTGGAATTTGATCGTGGTTAGAATCTGCACCGTGCTCCTACCTTTGATGGGAGTAATTACTTGTACTAGAAGATTAGAATGAGGGTGTTTCTAAGAGCTTACGACCCTGAGGGCTGGCAAGCCATTGAAGAGGATGTTGAAAGTACTGACAATTCGAGCAATCTAAGAGTTCTATATACCATTCGTGAAGCAATTTCTGATGAAGAATAGCAACGGGTTGCTCACTGCACAAAGGCCAAACATGTATGGGACATTCTGAGTCAATTTCATGAAAGATGAGAGTCATCTTCAGCACCATCTGTCACCTTTCCCACATTAGTTGCTTGACTGGATGAGGTCCAGGAGAAAGAGGGGCAAAAAGAAGATGATGAACATCAGACGACAATGATAAGATTGATGGTGATGATCTTCAACAAGCTTACGAAAAGCTTTATGATGAATCTCTGAATTTGTCCAAAATCAATGACAAACTCACTCTCAAGCTCAAAGCATGTGAAAGCGAGAATGTCAAGCTAAAACAAAAAAATTGCAACAACAAAGCAAAATGTCATCAAGATCTCTAATGACAGGCAAGACCTATGTGGGAAACTTCTATCTTGTGAGACCGAAAGGAATGAACTTCTAAAAATATATGCCACAAGTGAAGAGAAGATTGAAAGCCTTGAGATGTCACAAGCTACATTGTAAGAGATGGTTGGTCAAAAAGATGAAGAACTCAGAGATGTTAGAGCCACAATTTCCATATGGAACAAAGGTTCCAAGTCATTAGAAGACATCCTCGGGTCTCAACAAATAGGTTGTGACAAAAGTGGGCTAGGCTATGGTAATGCGACAGTTCATAAGGGATAGGCCTCTACATCACATGACCTGAAGACTTAAGCAAAGGGAAAGCTGAAGGTGCAACAGGGTGATCTCTCTCTTCATCTGTCTAACGGGGGTAAGATCAACAAAAGGGAGGTAAAACCTATTTTGGTTTGTCATCACTATGGTAGGTATGGCCACATTCGTCCTTATTACTTTGAGTTGTTTGGTAAGGTGTCTCAAAAGGGTAGAAACTCTAATACTTTTTGGGTTAGGTGACAACCTTACATGTCTAGGCGGAACACCAAGATTCATGAAGGTGTTCACAATGCTAAGACATTTACCAAGACCGTCAGTCCTGATTTTGTTATGACCAAAAAGATATGGGTGAGAAAGGATGACTTGACTTGTTTTGTTGTTCACACTGCTCTAAAAGCACGTGACTCACACATGTGGTGCCTTGATAGTGGGTGCTCTCGTCACATGTCAGGTGACAAATCATATTTCTCCTCCTTTGAAAAATATAAAGGAGGAATTGTTACCTTCGGAGATGGTGGCACATATAGAGTCATTGGTAAGGGCTCTATAAGTGTGGCAGGTCTTCCCAAGCTCAAAAATGCAATACTTGTTGATGGCCTTAAAGAAAAATTTTTGAGCATCAGTCAAATATGTGATTCCCACCATGAAGTATTATTTTCAAAAAAATAAATGTGAAATTTTAGATAAAAAGGGAAATACTGTCATGCATGGGGTTCGCACATCTGATAACTGTTATGAGATTATTACCACTAATGATCTCACTTGCCACTCAACCATCATAAGTAATATTGATCTGTGGCATCAAAGATTAGGTCATATGAATTTCAAAGACCTAACTAAGATAGCCAACAAAGAGCTTGTGAGAGGAGTACCTAAACTGGGTAAGATCATGAATCATGTGTGTGGACCATGTCAACTTAGGAAGCAAACCTGTGCCCCTTATAAAAAAGTGATCAGCTTTACAACCAAATGTCCTCTTGAATTGGTCCATGTGGATCTTACGGGACCCACTCGCACTGAAAGCATTAGAGGTAAAAGATACATTTTTTTAACCGTTGATGATTTTACCCGTTTTTCATGGGTAAATTTTTTAAGAGAAAAATCTGATATGTTTGATGCTTTCCAAGCCTTAGTCCTTAAAATCCAAAATGAACAGGGTGTCTCTATTGGGCGTATCATAAGAATCCGAACTGATCATGGTCGTGAGTTTGAAAATAGTTCATTTTCAGATTTTTGTGATATGCATGGAATTAAGCATGAATTTTCTACACCTATTACTCCACAACAAAATGGAGTTGTTGAGAGGAAGAACAGAGTTGTTCAAGAGAAGGCTAGGGTCATGCTCCTTAGTAAGAAAGTTCCTCTAAAGTTTTGGGCTGAAGCCCTAAATACTGTTGTTTATGTCATAAATCGTGTGTATTTAAGGCCCGGCGTTTTACAAACTCCATATAAATTGTGGAAGGGATCGAAACCTAATGTAAAATACTTCAAAACTTTTGAGAGTAAATGTTAGATTTTCAAAGATAGAGAGCCTTTGGGCAAATTTGACTCCCGAAGTGATGAAGCTATTTTTCTAGGGTATTCAACCACTAGTAGAGCTTTTCGTGTCTATAACCTGCAAACTTCATCTTTAATGGAATGGATCAATGTGGTTATAGATGACATAGGTTCTCCTACTTCAATGATAAATGAGGATCTCCAATCCTGGATACTGAACCACAAAGTCAAAGAGAAGCTGAGGTTCAAGCACAAGAAGGTGAGACAACACCAACCTCTCAGGTAAGTCAGAGTCCAAAGAGTGCACAAAGAGACACAATTCTAGATGTCTCTGTCACCACAAGTCCAAAGTTCAAACCATTAGCATGGGTGAAATTGAATCATCCGGCTCAATAGGT